TCAGGCGTATCCAATCTCTGAGGCCTGCTCTCAAAGTCGCCCCCCATCATGACATCCAAGCCATCCTCTCGAGGCTCCTCCACTCCCGGTTCTGGTGAGAATAAGCCTCCCACACTCTCCATAGTGTCGACTGCCTCAAGGAGCAAGCTCATCGATCCATCATCTGACCCCAAGGTCTGCGTACTAATGGCATCCCGTGGCCTGTCCCCTACATGAGGTACTGAGGATCTCAACACAGGATCAGAAGAGATCTCAGGCTGAGTGGCAAGTTCAGTAGGAGTCCTAAACTCTAAGGCCTCTCTCTCTGCCTCCCTCCTTGCTCTTGCTTCCTCTAGCTCTAACATAACTTTCCCCATGGCTGGCTCTTGGGAAGGCTCATCCACTGTCGGCCTCTCAAGTGGACCCTGTGCTGGCTCATCCTGGACATCATGATGACTGCACCCTGCCTGATCCCTGGTACTGGCAGGTGTCTCTCGCCCCTCACATCGTTGCCTCAGGTCCTCGATAATGACGGTCTGCTTGGCTACCAATGCCTTGAGCTCCCGGATCTTCTCCTCAGCTGTCTCCAATCGTACCCCCTGGCTTGACTCCTTTAACTTCTTGCCAGCCAGATCTGCCTCCATCAACAAGTAACGATCAAAGGAGGTCTTGGCTAGAAAGCGGACCTTGCGATCCAGATACTCGCTGACTGCCCTGGTCGTCTGAAAGCCCGCTCTCTCTGGGGATGCCACCTTCTCATTGTATTGGCTTAAGAACTCCTCGCACATCTCTCTCACTCCCGAGGGTCTGGGTGGTGACGCGGGTGGCGGGGCTGGGAGCTTTCCTGCAGCCTCCAATCTCTGCCTCTCCTCATAAATCTCTGGCAGTCGTCTCCTAACCCTGGCCCGCTTCTCCTCGGCAGTCTCTCGTGCCGGAACCCTCTCTCTCATACGGCCATCTGCTCTCGCTGAAATCTCAGCCTCCATCTCTCTCTCTGGCTGATGTGGCTCTCGAGGTGGCTCTATAAGTGTTGGCTCTCCGGGCGACTCTGTAGATGCTGGCCCCCCTAAGTCAGGATACTCCTGGACGTCAGCAGTCAAATGTCTATCAATCAAGGCAATCGCCTCTCTCCTCCGATCTACCCTCTCGCCCTCTGTGTCCGTCCTCCCTTCTTATGGAGACGTCATATCTGGAGGTAATGGCGACGACTGTCCTTGCTGTGGAGCCTCCGCTGTCTCGCTCCCCAATCTCAATCCAACGGCTGGCGTCTGAGGTGGAGTGTCCTCCTCAACCTCTATCACTTCCCCCTCAGTGCGCATGCCCTCCATGCTCGGCCCTTCCCCTGGCTCATGCCCTTGGGCCTCGTCATGCCCACCTCTCATCTGTGGCGCTCTCCATTGTGAGACATCCAGGCGTACCTCTAACTCTCGTAGCGGCTCTCCAGATGGTGGTGCCTCCTCCTGATCGTGCTGTGGTGATGCTCCCTGTTCCCCTTAAGTTCCTTGAGGGAACACCACTGGCCCTATCCCACACTCTGGGTAGGCTCCCTGCTCCTCTGTCTCAATCTCCATCTCTTGTTCTCGCCTAGCGAGTGCCTTCCGTCCTCCGCGAGACGTCACAGGCCTTTCAGGCTTAGGATCTCTCGGCCTCTCACCCTGCGGCTCCCTCTCGACTTCAGGCTGGGGTGGCTCTGGTCTCCGAAATGCTGCCAACACGTGAGCCCTGCAACTCTCCCAGTTCTGAGCCATGCCTTTGATCTGCCTTGCCAGAGGTATGTCTGCCCGCCTGGTCCATAGTGGCAGCCTACTGGCCCACTCGTCTCTCACGACCTGTTGGGCATGCATGAACTGCTCAAAGGTAGGGATGAACTCCTCCTGGTTCCCAATTGCCAGACGAATCGGCCTGCCATCCACTACCATAGGTGAGGGTCATGGCCCCTGTCTCCCCTCCCGCTTGGGCCCTCGCCCTTCTGGCTCAGGTCGCTGAAACTCTCGCCTTAAACGGGCTTGGCAGCCTTCCCAGTCAGCAGCTCTGTCCCAGATCTGCCTAACCATCGCTCTCTCCGCCGGCCTGGTCCATAAGAGCAACGCCTGCATCCACTCCTCTCGTGGGTACTCCAAATCTCGCATACATCGCTCATAAGCTGGTAGAAACTCATCCACGTTACCGTACTGTAGGCGAATAGGTGCCCCATCCTGGTCCACTGGCGTCACCCTCAACCCGTGCATCCTCCTTTCCACCTTTGCCCAGGTCACCGCCCCCTCTCGAATGCGTGTCACGGGCTCCTCAAAAAGCCCTACCCCTCGTAGGTGTCGAATCCTCTCACGCACACCCCATCTCCTCCGTGTCGTGTGCTCATGGAAGGAATCCAAAAAGAGCTCAACGTTATCATCATCGAAAACCGGCGTGTGCTTTCGTCGAGGTCGCTCAACCCCTCCAGGCGCCCCCAAAGGTCTCTGTCGTAAGCGGGCATCTCTCAGGTATGGCCGGTGCCGCTCAAAATCCCTGGGAACTCTCATACGCCGTTGAGGTGGTCGTCGCCCCTCCCCTTCCCTCGGCATGACTGTCTTCGAAAAGTCAGACCTGCGCATCAGGAAAAGGGACAACAGGCGCACCATGGGATAAATAAGCACGCAAACCAGACCACACGCAGAGCAGACTAACCCCCACCTCTATCCATGCATTCTACCCGCCAATCAATCTAACCTCTAAACATCATCCATCACATTAATCTATGACTCACTACTTTACGACTTATCACCATCTATAGTGGGCAGGGTCCACTATCTCACCTCTTCCCTGGCAACGAACTTCTTCAGTCTTGATCCTGAGATCCAATCCTTCCATCCTGTCCCATCCAATTCCTCAATCTGATAGGCCCCAAAATCCCCGCAGCGTGCGATCCGATACGACCCTAGCCACCTCTTATCCAACTTTTTGGACCACTGCTTCTCCAAGGATGAGTCATACAGCAGCACCACGTCCCCTACTTGCTGCGGCACCTTCCTTAATGCGCCATCTGGTCCCATCGAGCTTTATCCTCCATGCGGCTTTGTTCCATCTGATTAGATGCTTCCTAAATCCTCTCCTCAATGGCTCCAATCTGCCGCGCCCGAATGTCAAGCAACTCCTCAACTGACAGATTGGTTTCCAGATCCTTATGCCTCCAGGTTTTCAGAAAGCTCTCAATGGGAAAGGTTGCGTGTCTCCCGTACCACAATACTTCGTGGTCCTTTTTACTGTAATATTCTCGACAAAGAATGCCGCTCTCAGGTACTTTGGCCATTGATTGGGCCTGTCCTCAGTCCACTTAGCCAAAAGGTTCGTGATGGTGCTATGGCCTCTTTCAACTGGCGCATTAGCTTGGGGGTGTGCGGCCGTAGTGTAGTTGGCCATAATCCCATACCTTGCCAGCAAATCCTGCACCTCTTGGCAGGTAAATTCCGACCCTCTATCCATCACAAACTCTTTGACAAAAGGGTAGCGTAGGTAGTATTCCTCGATGCAACTTACCAAGACTGGTCCAGTCTTGTTGCGAATAGCCCGTCCATCAACAAACCCGGACAGGTTATCTCGCGCATCGAAGATATAGTTATGGCCTTGCTCCCCAGTTGGCATAAACAATAAGTCGAGGTGGACCACTGCACCTACTTCCCTCTCCAGCCCAGGGTGTAGAGGCTCTCTCGGTCGTTGAGATGACCTTTCCTGGCAGGGTATGCATGAGCAGCAGAACTGGCTAATCATCTCCATCATCCCTTCCCAGTAGTATAGCTCGCTTATCTTTGCATAGGTGGCCCTAACCCCTCAATGCCCACCTGCTATGCCATCATGAAGCGCAACTATAATATCTATCTGCCGATTCCTGCCGCATACGACCCTCCTAGGATTCCCCGCTTGTCTTTTCGCAAAAAGATGGTCGTCTCTCACCAAGTTGAGATGTCTCATCCTTTGCGCACGTTCGCTGGCGTCTCTGTTTCTCACCTCAGAAGATAGAAGGAGCCCTAGCTCTAGGTAGATCCCGTCATACTCCTCTGCATGGAAAGCCTCCTTTATCTCCCCTTCCTCAAACTCATCGTCGTAGCTTTCTGGCAGCTCCCCTTGGTCGACCAGGTTCACCTGATCCCAGTTCCCTTGCAGCAGAGTGTTAACAAGGAGGTACATTCCTCCCATCAACTCCTCGTGTCGTTCTACCTTGTCTGGTCCCTCCTCTATTGTATGAAGATCGTCCACCATGCTGTRAGTTCYGGCCAGCGCCAACTTCAYCATCCACCCWACATCTTTACCACYCCACGGATCTTCTTCCTCAAAGGGCTTGAGTACCAACTCCGCCTTCCGCTCATACCCCTTTGGCGTCATCCAAATGGGATAGCAGATGMAACTAGGCAGGCGCAAAGACCACTCATTGATGTGGAGTCTTACATYTTCCTCTTCCTCCAAAAAGCCATCGACTGGGGGCGTCGTTTCCTCTGCCTCATCCTGCTTTTGATCCCAGTCGATTCGACTTAGCCCATCCGCCCTATTCTTATCCCCAGGAATCCTTTCTAACTTGAAATCGAACATCCAGATGTATGTCAGCCATCTGGCAACTGTAGAATCCGATGGGATATAGTTCCTCAAAGAGTAGGCTAGCGCAGTAGGATCAACCCTTAGTACAAACCTTCTACCAAAAATATAATTTCGGAAGATGCTCAGACAATGGAGCACTGCGAGGGTCTCCTTCTTAAACTGCGAGTAATTCCTCTCAGTAGAATTAAGAGTCCGACTTTCGAATCTTAAAGGTCGCTCCTTGTTTTCTGCATCCGCCTGGATAAGAACTCCACCTAGAGCAGTTGGCCCTGCATCTGTCTCCACTATGAGCGGCCTTCCTTCCACTGCATCGTAGTCGGGTGCTCCCAAGCCCAATCCTCCTTCCCGAAACTCCTCCTTCATTCTGGCCACTGCTTCCTCTTGCTCCCTACCCCAGATCCATTCCTGATCCTCACGAACTAGCTTTCTTAAGTGCTCAGTCTTAGCGGCAAAATTCTTGACGAAAGTACGCCAAAACCCGCATGTGCCGAGGAAACTTCTAACGTCCGTAACAGACTGAAAGGGTACCGGCCATTCTATGATCTTATCTGTCTTCTTTATGTCAGGCCGACGCCCTTCTTCATTACAGACAAAGCCCAAAATGGTCGCTTCCTTCATGCAATGCTTAGATTTAGGTCCACTTGCTGTAAGGTTGTATTCCTCTAGCAAACTCAGGACTTTGTCAAGATCCTGAATATGCTGCCACACAAAACGCCTAACCCCCGGCAAGACTTCCTCACACTCCTTCTCTCTAGCCTCTTTTACCGCCAAGTCGTCGATGTACGGCTGCGTAATGCTTGGGCTGACTGTCTGCATGGCCCGGATCATGTGACGTTGAACCATGGCCACTGCATTCGTCCACCCTTGCGGCGCCACATTCATGTGAATTAACCCTCTCGGCGTGTCCATGGCCGTCACTGGCCTATCTGGCGGGTAGACCGGAAATTGGTTATACCCTGAATAGAGGTCTATAATGGATATTATAGGTCTCCCAGCACCCGACTCGGATAGGGCGTCCGCATTAGGTAAACCTCCCGCATCACGCATAGTTACCGCATTCAGCCGTGGCAGATCTTGGACCCAACGCAAAGTCCCATTAGGCTTGATAAAATAAAACCAAGGGCTTGCGTATGGTCCACTTGAATAATCGGCGACGTGTGTTCGTATTTTACTATCCAAATAATCCACCACCTTCCGCTCTTCGCCAGGATTCGGATACCGTGCCCCTCGCAAATTYCAAGGTTCATGCGGCACRGTGTGAATCCGGATCATGGGGATCTTATCCACGTCCAACCTCCCTCTCTCCTCATCGTTGAACGCGTAAGCTCRATGCTTYTTTTTTATCAGCTCCAGCATCAACGCCTTCTCTTGTGGCCGTAGGAAGTCTGACTCCCCTATGATCAACTTCCCTTCAGTCTCCTCGTTGATACGACACGGTCCTGATGCGGCTTGTTCTTTCATTTGTCGTATCAGCTCTCGTTCCTCCTCGTAGTAAAATGCTTCATCCTTTGTAACGAGGACAAGAACTGAGCGGCACTTCTTATCTACCATTTTGTACCGCCTTTTGGAGCCCTGCTTGAGCCTTCCCTTAGAAAAGGCTGGCTCACAGCTTGGGCCTGCATCACTGCCGGTCCTCTTCTCCCACCAGGTAGTCGATAGACTAGCTCTAGCTCGCCCACCTGGGGACATTCCAAAACTTGCTCTCTCAGAGCTTGGATGACATCTGGATCCGCCATTTCGTGGGTTGCCACTAAATCCATCGCCTTATCCACGTCCGCCAAACTGAGAGCGAACGCCTCTCCTTTCTCTTCTGCTTCCACCTCCATGTGGATCCATCGTCGCTCCTCTTCCATTTCCTTAACTATGAAGGAACGGGGACTGAGTTTGTTTCTTATATTGTGCGGCCCTGTGTTAATGCAGGTAATCACCTCGTAATTACCACAGGCTGGATCGCAGATCAGAAGGATCAGAGTACCGTCATGTTTGTTAAACATCAGGGTCTCTATCCGACTTAAGAAAGACCTCCCTAGGAGAAGGCCATGATCCACATCGGCCATAACCAAAAAGCACGCCCTGGCCTTTACCTTCCCAATTTCTAACAGCACGTTCGAAACTGCGTCGTAAAACGTTGCCTTGCAATTGGCACCATGTTAGATGCCGCAATCAGATCGGTCTATATCCAGACCGAATCTAATGGCATCTTCCTCACGAATAATGTTCATCTCCGCGCCTGTATCTACCATCGCGGAGGCCTTGGTGCCTTTCACTACCAGTGGTATCCTTCCACAGGCTACACACTTCCAGTCCATTTTTGTGCGTGGCTCCACCCATTCCATCTCCTTTGGCAATATAGTACCCAAAAATACGTTGGGTATCAATCGCCTCGATAATCTTGCCTTCAGACTGTCACGGAGCCGGGGTGCAGAGGCTAAAATTTCTTTTAGGGTCAACAAATCATTGTGGCCCTCCAGCAGACGGTCGATCACACTTTCAACATCAAAACCTTCTTCCAATCGAACCGCGTACTTCTTTTTCTTCCGCGCCGTATCGCGCAAGGCTGGCTCAGGGTCCTCTCTGACCCCTCTCTTCTTGGCGCGTTGCTCCGCCCTTTCATCCTCCTCACGGCGGAGCCTCTCGTCCTGCTCCTCATCCTCACTGTCATCCTCCACCTCCACAGCCTCTTTCCTCCTTTCTTGTTCTGGCTCCTTTTGTAGAGGTTTCTGACTTGGGCCATCTTCCTCTTGACTTCTCGTTCGGGCTGCGGGCACCACCCTCCTTTGTGCCATAGGAGGCCTTATCAATCCCCCTGGTCGTGCGCCCGACCCCACCAAAGCTACATTGGGGTAGCTCTGGCGTTCTGGCTTTGCCTCGGGGTCAGTATCCAGCAAATAAACCATGGGGAGGCTACCCTCCCACTCTTTCACCTCCCCACAGATATCCTACAGCTCCTGCTGGTACCTTCCCATCTTCCCCCACAAGTTCTCCATCTTGGCGACGAGGTCCATGATCGACGAGCTGTCCTCAGCTTCCTCCTCGTCTTCCACCTCCCTAACCACAGACTCTTCCTTCACCCGTTCACTCGCCGTCTGCAGATGCCCTCCTTCATCCTCTTCAATCTCTTCCACTGTTATTGGAGGACCCTCCTTCTCTTGCCACAACCGGAATACTGCCGGAGGTGTTGGTGGCCCTCCTGCCGTTCTCCTCCTTAGAGCCTCCGCTCTAACCCCACCTGGGATCTTATGGTCTATCTCTTCTCCGAATTGGTCGAACATATGCCCATCCATACTTGAATAGACTAACCCTTCTCTCTCGCTGTCCCTTCGTTGGTTGCAGAATCGGATGGTATGTCCTTTCTTATCACCGTGTTGACATATTGCCGTCCTCCAATCAAAATACGCTCTGCCACCACCTTGTCCACCTTGGTTCCACTGACCTTGAGTCCCCTGATTCTGACTACCTTGGTTACCCCACTGTCCACCACCTCGTCCACCACCATTCCTTCCACGTCCTCTTTCTCCACCCCTACCACCATTCCCTTGGCCCCTCTGACCCTGGCCTCCATCCCCTGCCACACTATTTTGTGATGGCGTGGGCTATGGGGGTGGTGCCATGGGTTGGGCCTGCGTGGCCGGGTAACTTGGGGACGGCGCAGTGTTCTGCAGGTTTACGTATGGCACAATTTGCCCTCCTGCGTTCTGCCCGCTCCATGAGGGCGCGGGGTTAAACACCCATTGCCCTTGTGGTAGCATCAATACCAGTGGGGCCCTGGCACTGTTGGACGGGCCAGCTATATTTGATGCGGCGGCCGGCGCTGCCGCCTGCTGTAGTTGACCCTTCCCAGTGCCTTGTCCTCCCTGCGCCTGGTTGCGTAGTATCCTCTGTGCTTTTGTAAGGTGCACAGGCACAGGTTCCTCCTCTTCCCAGTCCGGTTGAACGACTTCTTTGTTCACCACCTCTTTCCCTCTTCCTTGGACAGAAGTTATCACCCTCTTCTGTATCACCTCGTCCTGACCATACCCCAGTTCTGCGAGCGTATCCTTAATAATCCTCTTTACCCCAGGGGTTCCCGAGGCCGTAGCATCCCGTTCTTTCCTCTTCTGCCTCTGCTGGCGCATTTGGTATTGTTCAACCTGGTCCAGGCTGCCATTTGCTACACCTCTGTCGATGGTGTCCCAGGTGAGTTTGGCCCTACCTGCTACCCCATGACTCGTTATTTCGGATGCCTCCGAAGCCGTAATCAACCCCAAGAAGATCGCACACAAAGCGTCTTCAAAGACCCCATGAACCTTCCTTGCTTTCTTCTTAAATGCCTGCAAGAAGGCTCCCACTGTTGTGAAGTCGTCCCGATTCATGGCTTCCAGATCAGTGGTCGTCAGCATTCCATCCCCTAGCCTATACTTCCTTCGCATAGCCTCTTTATAGCGGTCTCAACTACCATTGGCCGCGTCGATAACCTTCTATACTTCAGAGTGGTGGATATGAAGTACAAATCTTAGTACTCGCTAAAGTTTCACCTCGTCTGCCAATCCCACCAGGGCCTAATCCACTTTGTCCAACCACTCGGAGACTCGCTCCCCGTCAAAGTGGAACGTGTCAACCTTAGGTACATTACTGACCATTCTCTCTCGCCTGTCCAAGACCTCGACGAGGTCATCGATCGTCATTGTCTTTTCTTCGCCTTCCGGCATTTTGACTGACGGCTCCTTTACTCAAACTTCCCTGTTATAGGATCGAGAGCACACAACAATTTCACTCAGTCATTACGTCCTACTATGTACATACGGTTTTTCCCTCTCACAACCCTTCCATAATCTTAACATAGCTCTCCCCTTTCATGCTCTTTAAGTCTCAGAATTCCTCGCCTAGCCTATCACGTCTTTAGCCTAATCCCGGACAAGGTCAAAATAAAATCTTACCCTTACTACTCTTAGCTCATAAGAACATACAAGAACGAAAATAAGATGTTACCACATACAATCCCCACACGTACCTTCAAACCTCCCAATGCCTGATTTCTCTCAACCTTCCCGAGTGTCGTTCCACCAGGGACAACGGTAGGCAACCGCTATCCCCGGCAACGGCGCCACCTCTCCAGCGCATCGGTCCGGCACCGCACGAAGCAGCGCGGGACCCTCCCGACCGCGTCACACAGGTACAGGACCACCTTACCATGAACACAATCCAACGGAGCTTCCTATAGGCCGCTCCGCCCGGGTGCGCCAGCCGTACCTCTCGCGAGCCCCTACGACAGGATAGGGCCTACGCGAGGCACAACTTACCTCCACCATTCGGGAGTTGTCACCTCCCTGCGGTGGGCATATCCCCGTTGGGCTACCAGTCCACAATACGAAAGCTACTCTGTTGCTATCGCAGAGGTGGACCAGCCGAGGGCGTTTTTCGTTCGCTGTAGCATAGGGGGTACGCGCGGCATTACGCCTTTGTCGAACCCGTGCGTGAGTCGTCTTCTTGGGGTGGCTGAAGTCCCAAGCGCGACCCATCGGCGGTCGACTAGAACGTACTCTACACTCGCACGTACACCACATAACAACAAAACAAAACATAACACACGCTTACAAACGTACCCACTCTAACGAAACGACACAAATGAACAAACCACTCTATCCTAGTCCCTTGAGTAACTAACCCATAACTTTCCGACGTGAACTCGGATAAGCGTCGTGCGCAAGATTCTAATATAAACCTGCGCGGTCACAGGGCCTCCCCATATCGACTGGCACTATCTGAAGATGCAAACAGTCGCAGTAATATCCTCACGATATTAAATGGCGGAAGGAAAATATATCGTGGGGTCTTACCCCTCACGATATTAAACGGCTAAAGGACGCGCCGTTCGGCCTCCGCGACTTCTCTGAGCCTTTGCCAGGATGTCGTGGTAAGCGATCCATCAAGGCTCCACTTGAAAGGAAATCCCCCCATCTCGTGGAGCCGGAACCCGCCTTGACCTGGACAAGGACCTGGAATCGGGTTCAGGACTAACGTGCGACTAAGAACTTCAAAAAGCAAAAAAAAAGTAGTGCGACGCTCGTCCCTTAGTTGCGTCCCCGACTACCCTCTACGTGCAGGCCCAAGCGAACATGCCTATGTTCTGTCTATACATAAGGGCATATAAGCAATACATAAATATATAGAGGCTTAAATTTGTGGGTCGATCACTTCTCACAATCACGACAAGGCTCCCTCCAATCGTATATGTGTGAAACGCAGGCAGCCAAAATACAAATCTGACCCAGGAAACATACCGGCATTCACATCAAAGTTCAACAGAGAGAATAGAGCCCACACATTACACGGGGTCAACTTCAATCACTTCGCTGTACTCACACCCCATGTTTCAGCCATGCGAACACCAACCTTCGTCCAACCTCTGTAAATAAACACTCAGTGCTTCCTTTAAATTGCCATTCAATAAAAACCCGGGTGAAAACCTTAATGAAACAACGAAAACCACCGGCCAAAGCTCTTTTAGGTTGAGCAAGGGAAGAGGGATGGAGTTGAGTCGTAGAGCGACGAATCGGTAACGGACCTGTTATCAAGGATAACAGAAGACGATCCTTGTAGGATCGAGCTGACACTGACCCAAGTTCCGGATCAAATCGACCAAAGAGTAAACCTGTATCACAAGACAAGTCAATATTCCAGYTMATCATGTAAGCGTATGGAGGGTAACCTCCATATCTCATCTGYACCCGAATTCTAYAGATGTTAGGCCTAAATTTACCCTTGTACAAGTACCCAGAGTAAAACCTAGATCTTTAGGTACACCTCTCMTATAAGTGATTGCCTAAGGGTCGCCACCTGTCGACTTATAGTCTAACTCCTCTRAAAACAAGAAAATTTCGGCAGCGCTTCCCGTAGKAAAACTGCCTTCCMAGAATTTATACGAGCTCAAATATAGACACTAAGATAAATCTCAACTTTCAAAAGTCAAYGTTTGTCTAAGTCCCTGAACTARCAAAAATTTGGGCAGCACTTCYCCTAGAAAGKAAGGTTTCCCAAAYTCTTACTAAGTCAGAAGTGCTTAAACAAAAKTTCAACCTTTGAAGAGCCAGACTTAACCAACTMCTTGGTTTTGCAGAAATTTCRGCAGCGCTTCCCGTAGAGAAARTCACTTTCCAAGATTTCTACAAGACCRAATCTACAAAGTGACCCASAAACTGCGAGACAACAAGACTAAGCARAAAAGACAACTACCTCCTATAGCTCTAGCACATGGCGAGCACTAMAGCAACTACCTATCAATACAAACCTCAGACTAGACACAGGTGCTACTCATCCACATGCAAAGCCATACCACAAAGGTAAGTCCTCTCACCTCCCCAATTTTGARACTTTTCCAACAATAGTTCATGAACTGTCAGTGAGTTATCCCTCTGTACCCAGCTTACATAAGGCATAAAGCCAGACCWCCTGAACTTACAGAACAGTCTRACTTAGCCAAGAATATACACAAACAGAGGCCACAACTACTTCTCTCTTCATTTGGGCATAAGCCCTGAACTGCTTAATATCCCAGTTATATATACTTCTCTGAATTTAGTCTTCTAAGGTTGCATAGGACTGAACTCCTCACGTTTAGTCTGCCCCATCTTACCTCAAGTTCTATTCTTAATTCATACTCTCTTCAGGTTGTGATAAGCAATAGTGAGACCCCCTGAACTTACAGAAGGGTCTAACCAGCCTGTTCTTAAACAATATAATACCAAAGTATATCCAAGTTATAACCTTCGGGTTCAAACATGTGCGAGGCATTGAGTCGGACCCCTTGAACTTACAGAAGGATCTGCCTCTCTGCCAAACTCCTTTCTCCCTGATCCAGCGTGCATGGCCTTTGAGCTAGATCCTCTGAACTTACGGAGGGACCTATCTCTCTTGCCAAAGTCAGTCCCCTCTGAACCCTTATGTGCGCGGCTTTGAGCCAGATCCCCTGAACTTACAGAAGGACCCAACTCTTCGCCAAGTTCATTCCTCTCTGAATCATCATGTGCGTGGCCCCCTGAACTTACAGAAGGGCCAAGTTTCTTTTCAAAGCTACTCCCTCAGAATAAAACAGAAAGGGACTAAGCCACCTGAACCTACAGAACAGCTCAGTCACCTTGTTCAAAAACAAAGAAACAGAAGAAAAAAAAACAAAGAAAATCAAGGCAACAGATGGTACAAAAACTTATCGAGCGCTCTAAGTCCCTGAAAACTTCAACCACAGCCAAGCCTTCACAAGTCAGAGCAATTAGGCCACCTGAACTTACAGAACAGCCTAACTCTCCACACAAACCATAGCACTGGGTCTCCCTAAACTTATGGGGACCTCCCAGCCTCCAAAGCAATCAGACCCCCTGAACTTACAGAAGGGTGTGACTACTTCATGCATTACCATAATGAAACACAGCACTGGGTTTCCCCAGCCTAAATGACCCGGCCAAACTTCATGTATAACTGCCTTCCTCCCACCCTTCCCCCCAGATGCACCCCTTGTGTGATACATGTCTGCTTTCATACCATAAAGAAACTGAAACTTGAGATTAAGCATGCATTCCTTTAGCTTATCTGAGTTTAGATCCTGAAAGTCAGACAAAAGTCAACTATAGGATGCATGCACAGTACTCAACCAATACATAGAGAAAGATATAGATAGGGGTTATATCTGGGTATATAGGGAAAAAAGAAAGTTACCTCTGAGTTCCCCGCCCCCAGAACTCCTCCTGAGTTCCGGCGGAGCTCCCGCAGCTGACCTCCCACAAGGTCTTGCCACGGTCGTACGGGTTGCCAATCCCGCCTGCCGCTTTCCTCTCGTAACCTCAGACTAGACTGAGAGCAAGAAGGATAGAAGTAGACAGGTTAGACGCTCAGATCCAAGAGAGGTGCGCTCAAACTCACTTGAGAGGGCCACGGTACCTGGATGCACCTGACGGCCCCGTAATGATGGTCAATACCGCCACAGAAGACAACCAAAACCACGGCCGGAATGCAACGCACAAGTCCCTTGACAGGCTCTCAGAGTCACAGCAATAACCCTCGCTGCACCAAACTCCGCCCCCCCTCCAAGCTTCCGTATCCCTCTTTCCGACCAGACCGCGGCCTCTCAGCCTGGAGAGACCGTGTCCAGGTACAACTCCTTAGTCTATTCGAGGTACAACAATACATAGTGAAACACAGTGTATTGGCGCAACTAATACTCAGCAGCTGTAACAGTACCCGTGTAACCGGCCGAGAGCTTGTAGCAACAACCACAACGCATGCAAAGCTGAAGACGCAGCAACCGTAGCAGCAGTACACAGCGGTACATAGCGGTACACAGCGGTACACAACGCGCTTAGTAGTGTAGAGTTACTCAGTAACCATAGCACTTTGTGACAGATATAGCAGCTGCTGCAGCAGAAACACAACCAAGGCAACCTACAGCCCACCTAGTAGTAGAGCATACCAGATATTGTAATCAACTGGGCGCTCGATGAGAAGACACCCCGCGGTTAGCCTTGCTGCAGCCTCATCCAACGGCAAACAACGTCGCAAGCCAAAAAAGTGGGCCAGCAGCTTCGCAGCCCGCTCTTCC